CTCCCCAGAGCGAGCGCAACCAGGGCATCAAGCTTCTCCCTCCTACACCTCCACAGGGTTCTTCCTCCCCCTCCAGCTTGGGTTTTCCATGCATGGGTATCGGTGTGCAAGTGGAAGCAAGGCATTGGAGAACGAGAGGCATGGTTTTACATGAACTTAATTAACCCAAATAAAAACACCACTGCAGTAACCAGCCCCTTCAAAGTACCCTGGCTAAATAGTACTACAGCTCATGAAAGAAATTTCAACGAGCCAGCCCATGTTGATTTGGAAAGATGTTCCTTTGCAAGGCTGAGTCATAAAGAGGATTGAGAAACTCTGCAACCAGTGATTAAACAGCTAGAAAGATCTGCCAGTGGGAAAGTGTGCCAAAAATTGTCATGCTGTACACTACCTTCTATTTCAATGATTTGCTTTGGGTAAAAGGTTTCATTTGTTTCATTTGTCTGAGTATGATGCAGTTCAAATTTCAGATCCTTTCCTCTCTTACTCACAGCAACATTCAATTCTGTTGATCTTGTACTTCATCAGCTGTGTGGGAAGGTAACTGAACTTTCTGTCTAATGGCAGAAGATGCTTCAATTGTTTCTTTGGATTCCAATTAGGAAAGGCCTTAAATTAAACACTAGGGATATAAAAAAAGAATTGAGACAGCTTAGAAAACTCTGGAAAAATAGTCAAGGGATAATAGTTGCCATGGCAATGCTTCTCTGTTTTCTCTTGGGATAACAGAGGTATGTGCTGAAGAAGACACTTCCCCAGCGCACACCTCACTTAGACCCAAACCCACTTAGCTGCCAAGTCCAGGCACGGGCAGGGTGGGTCGTGCAGCTGCCCACACAGCACAGGCGAGAGTTCTGCTCCCCCCCCAAGAACTGGGACCCCCAGTGTCAGATCACACTGCCGATGTCGCACCGCACACCCAACGCCACGCTGTCACCCAAGTCACGACGCAGGTCAGGGTGCTGCAGCGCACGGCTGAGGACCTGCTTTTCCACACCAGCTGCCTCTTGATGGCTTCATAGTCCCCGAGCATCTCTGCTGCTTCTTGGTCCCACAGAGCAAGCAGGGTTGGTGAGAGGCTCACAGCTCATGATGTCCAGCGGCATCGGCTTGTGGGATCCCGGAGAGGGAGAAAGGCCACGGCACTTGTAAGTCCATACTGCAGGCCAGGCTGCAGGGGATGTAACACAGGAGACACTGGCCTGATCCTGTGCTTGGTACGTGGCAGCGGGTTGATACATACGCATCAGAATCCAGATCCTCAAAGACATTGAAACACCTAAATCCCCGTGGTATCTTTCAGGATGTGGTTTCTGGGATCTTTCACTTCCATTTGTACTTTTGAAAAATCTGCTTCTAAAATTCAGGGTCATCAACCCAGTCTTCTCACTGGGACTGCACAGACGATACATCTGAGGCTGTCCCGGGACCTTGGGCTGCTGATCAGCCAGACCTCACACTCAGTCTAAGAACAGTGCAGCTCCTTCCACCCCATTCACTCAAGTTTCTCCTCACAGAAACTGGGGGGTGGGCAGCAATGAGGGGTAGGGAAGCGGCATGCACCCGACTCGTGCCTACCCATAGGGTCTGGATGCGGAATTAGACAGACAGCACCTTAGGAATCTAGCAGCATTTGCACTGACCCATCTTCTGCAGCAGCTCCCACAGAGGACTAGGAAAAAAGCATCTGCCATAGCTGAAACCTGTCCTGTGCAACAGATTCTGCTGAGAGCAAAGTAGAGATTATGAATGAGCTGACAAAACCAGCCTGCTGTTGGCATAGGCACCAAGCAGAGACAGAGTAGCTACGCTGAAAGTGTTTCATCCATTACTGTCAGAGAAGTCACTTTTACCACTGATCCTGCTCCAATAAATCATGTTGCCAAGCAGTTTTATAGAGGTGTTATATATCCAAAGCTACTTATGGTCCCGTTAAAAGAGATGCATTTCTTTTTTAGCTCAGTGTGGCTGAAACGCTGTCACAGAAAAGAGAGAGTTGCTGCTCAGAGTGCTATTGTAAAAGAGGTATTATTGTAATTACAGCAGGAGGGACGATGTGAGCTAGGAGCCACCATCTTTTTCCCCATCCCATTGCCTTTGGGCAGCCTTGCAAAGCTGAAAATTTGCTACCACAAGCACAATAGCTGTTCACACACCCTTTGCCATGGTGATTGATGAAAATGGGGAAATAATGATGTTACTTCCCCATTCACCATAAATCACCCATCCCCTCAAAGTGACTAGAGTATTATAAGCCTGGCCAGATTTATACGGACAACTTAACCAATTAGCTCTTTTATAAAGGCTGTTGTCTTCTTAATGCAGTGTTAGATATATTTAGGCATGTGTCTACAAAAGAAAGTATTTCTTTCCGAAGCTAACAAAGCTCTCATTCTAGCAGACTTAAAACGTCAGTCTGCAAATGTTCACCCTGTGGCTGTGTTTGCATTAGCAAGTTATTCAGTGACAGCGGAAGCCAACCTATAGATGAAAGCAGGGGGTCTGAAGGCACATACATATACACTACATATATATGTATGCATGTACTTATACATGAATGCATACATATACACATATTTATACACATACATATATATAAATATACATGGTTTGCCACGATTGAGGTCAGCAGGAAAACGCTCACAGGTTATGTTACTAACAAGCAGAGTAGCTTAGGAAGCTGGTATACCCAGCACAGCTAAGTCTACGCGGCACGCGTGTAATTTCCATCAAGATTATGCTTTTGAATTTGGCTCTGTTTAAACATTGCCTTTCCTGTGGCTGGCCCTATTGCCATCACACTGCTGCTTTGCAAAGCACTGGGAGGGACCTGCCCAGCTGCTAATTAGCAGCAAGGCCACTCCTGTCCCTGGAAAGCAGAGATAATTCCCAAGGCCATTACCCTGCTGAGCCCGTCCGGCCCAGCAGGCAGCGTAGGCAGCCATGGAAATGCTCCGCTTCACTGCCGAGCGAGGCGATGGGAGAGGGCCCACAGGCAGCGATGCAGCCTGCGCTGCACCCACCCACTGCATCCCAACAACGCAGCAAGGCAGCCGCCAACAGCACCGAGGTGCCTCAGCAGGAAGAAACGTCTGCCTTCCAGTTTCCCCTGCACTGTCGTCTTGAATCCACACACAACAGTTAATGTCACGACACCCTGTTGAACCTCAGAAAAGCACCAAAATGTCCCCGTTTCAGCGTTTGCTTGAGACAGAAAAGGGCACTGCACAGGCACAGAAGAATTGTCGTCTTTAAATTGTCTCTAGGTAATTTGCTGCAATATTGTCCCTTGGAGAACAAATACTGGAAGGGGCAGAGAAAAAGCTTTTTTTTTTTTTAACATCAGTTCAGGAGTCAATTGCATGCAGGGGAGCAGCTGTGACCGTGCTGGCCTCGGGTCAAAATCCAGAGCGCACCTCTGACTCCTGGCCCCAGCACAAAGGGGTTGCTGGAAACCCTCTAATGTCAACGGCAAGTCTGGCTGTCCAAACGGACATGCACTTGCAGTGACGGAGGTGGATCAAAAAGCTTGCTGATCCAGCTGCCTACAGAGCAGAGAGACAACCTGCTGGAAACCCTCAGCCAAAGAGTATTTCTGCCCTTCCACATGCAAGGAACTCCTTGCCATAGGAGGAAAGGATGCCACAGATAGTAAGTTCACCTTAAGTCTAAAAAGCAACTGGACAAATGCATGGGATAAAGTTTATCTGGGTCCACCAAGCACAGTTACAAAAATGCCTGAGGCAGATTGTACTAGAGACAGGGAAATATTTAGAGGAGGTATCAGCCCACAGTTGCACTGATCCTGTAATCTGTCTCAGGTGTCCACTACTGTCCATCCCTGGCAGCAGGGCATTGACCTAGATGGACCTCAACGTGACAGTATATCTAACATTTCCAGATAGTAGGTCGTGTTGAAAATCAGTCATGAATATTTGCCTGAACACTGTCTGTGAACCCTAGCCACAGGAACACACAAGTAAACACACAATTTTCCTCCGGTGAGCAAGCCCCTTAGTTTCTACATTAACACAAATTCATCAGTCAAAGCCTCTCAGTGGCCAGAACCAACGAAGGAGGAGATTGCTCCATCAGCTCCCATCTCACACAGTCAGATAATGCAGGGCCACAGCAGGGTACCTAAAACACCAGTTTACTGGAAGAAGCATTATGAGTATTTATGGATGCTGCGACATGATTAGTACCCCAAACAGAAAGATAAACTGGCAACCTAAAGTCTTTCAGGTCAACAAACATCTCAGCTCACTGAGCTCCCAGAGTCAATGATCAGCACAGAAATTGTAAATCACAATATTATTATTTTTTTATTTATTTAAAACCCTTAGAAAATGCAGACAGAACAACAGGCACCTTTGTGCGTACAGAAAAGGCAATTCGGTTCGCATAAGCTTTTGATATCAATTAACACCATTTATGAAACTGTACCCTGCCTACTGCACACAAAAGGCCAGTAACAGGGCTGCACAGGCAGAGCGTACAGACATGATTACTCTCGCTGTTGGGTCAGAAGCTCCTGCTCTCTGTTCAGAGTGTATGCATGTTATGAAAAAAAACCCAACCATGCTGCTGAGATGTGCAGCTCTGTTCATACCAGGTTTATTACTGGTCTTCCTAACATCTGAGATTTCACAGCAGAAATTTTGAGAAATTTCAGGATTTTGATCATTGCAGGACATTCACCACCAGCAGGCAGAAAGGACTGTATCCATGGTCTACACACAAGTTCCAAAATGGACCTGGGAATGCATAAACCAGGCAGCACTGTGCCCCTCCATTCCACACCCCCACAGGTAAAAGTAATCTGGGACATGAATAGGTCCCTTTGGATTCAGGGACAGCCTTAGAAGGGCCTTTGCTCCTTAAAAAACTCCTTCAAAAGCCTAACTCTTTGTCTGCCTTGATTTCCCTTTTGATTCCTCCTCCCTTGCGCTGCAATCACTAACTGCAGCCAATAGCTTTTCCCTTGGTTTTTTTGAAAATTAAATGATACCTGCTCTTTTTACCCATCCTGACTAGCTGCTCTTGCACACAGGTGACTGAAACTCTCTCATGATGTTCACAGCAAAGCTCTTACATGGCTCAGCAAGAAAGAAAAGGAAAGCACATCAGAACCTCAGGTTTTCTCCTTTTACTGCTGAGATTTGTTCTCAGAAAGCAGGTGCATGTCAAACAGCTCGACTGGCCAGAACATGGGATGCCACCTAACAAATCTCTCTTTCAGCTCCAGGGTGAAAATGGCTTTTGGAAAGTACCTGAACTTTGGGGCACTGAAGCATCAGAGGAGCACAGGTCTTTAGTGGAGGTAACGAATTATACAGGCACCCACAGTAGTATGGTGTGTGAGCATGTTCCCACTGTGGGCGTCCTGCTGCCTCCCTGGCAGAGCCAACAGCTGAAATGCTGATTTGATGCCTAACAGTTAAACATCGCCAGTCTTCCTAAAACAAGACCCACCCTTACTATTGTATCTGAAGTTTCCAAAAGGCTACTCATTATTTGACGTAAATCTCTCTCTCAAGAACAGCCAGGTTTTCCTCCTCCTTTAAAGATGACAGTTGCTCTGAGTAGACCTTCAGAAACTAACACCATTTAAGAAGAGAGGTTTTTTTAAAGATCTGCATCTAGAGTAGTTCCACTAGGTGCTCACCACTCTTCAAATGCACAATCAGATCACAAGTAATAGGCACCCACTTTTTTCACAGCCTGTATTTTTCTAATTCAATTAGATGACCACACACATTCCAGCTTTGGCGCCCTTGTGTAGGCTAGTTTTAAAGAAACATTACAGAAAAGTAACAGGAAGGCAAGGAGATGTTCTTGGGGTCTCCACGTCACATTGTCCAGCTGCTAGCTGAAACCAGGACATAACACACCCCAAAATGTCTCACCTGAAACAGAAGGATAGCTGCAAACAGAAACCTGGATCTTCCTCTAAATGCCATTTCTCAGGCAGATGACAAGCGTTGAGTCATAGCATGCAGGACAGCAATGTAAAGGATGCTTATTTTCACTGCGCTGTGTTGGTAGCAATGCCCATGTCCCTTTAGACTGGTATGGCACAGATAAAAGCAGCATTTTACAGCTGCCGCAAGCTCAAGAAGATAAAAAAGTCCCTGTATGCACTTCTGTCATGTTCCCCTGCCTGCTTCAGGTGAGACTAATACTCTGCCAGCACTTGGACGTGACTCCTGTCAGGCACCTCTCTTGCTAACTAAGTACTCTTGGCTGTCTCAGCATTGAACTCCGGGAGCACAAGGGAGATAGATAAGAGCAAGCCATGGAGAGATCACAAGAGTCTGTGTGCTTGAGGACCTAGTCTGGGACGAAGGAGCAGGACCATCGAGGGGGTCTGCAGTGTTCTTCTAAAGTGGCTGGTCCATAAAAGACTGAGGCATAGGTGTGGAGGAAGGGAATGATGGTTTTCTGCCTCTGCCAAATGATTAGTTTATTTTGAAGAGGACAGGAACATAGCGAGGGGAGGTTATCAGTGCAAGCCAGCACCATGGGGAGCCAGATGCTCACTCTTTCACAAACCAGACCTCATTGCGTCGCCCATAAGGCTTCATAGGGGGATCATAACCATTGCAGAAGTAGAAATCCTTGCGGTATGCAGCTTCACTCCCCAGAGCAGCCTTCAGCTTGGCAGCATAGTTCACGTAATCCGTCTCTTTGGCATAGCCACCAAACTGCCTGCAAAGAAACCAAACACGGAGAGGTGCTGAGCGGTCCTGGCAAAGCATAGAAAGGAAGAGAGGGAGAACAATATACAGCCACAATATATTTAGCCATGCATTTTGGTCCAGATCCCGCCAACATGCACTCGTGCAGGCACTGTTCTTTGTGAATCAGCACACTTTGTCCGCGATAGATTAAGTCTCAAGGGTTACATTGCCAGGGTGCAGTCATCCACCGGCAGACACCAAACAGACCGACGTATATCAGTCAGCAGAACGGCCCTGCCCTTTGAATCAACGCCATATCAGAGGAACAGCTTCCTAGAACACAAAGTTATCTCCAAGTCTGCTCAGCCCGCAGTCCTTACACCAATGCTGTCAACAGCCATGTTCACTGTGGTGTGAACAACCATCTGCTGGAAGCCAGATCACAAAGGGAAGCCAAACTCTAGCTAGCCCAAGGAAAAGGGGAGGTAGGAACAGAGATGTTAGCAATTACAGCTCACAAATAGCAATTTAAAAGGGGTGGGCTGGAATTGGTCTGGTTTATGTTGACCTCCCACCAACAGGAACTGTTTCCACATCAGCCCACACCTCACCACTCTGCCTCAGGGACAAGGTTTGAGACAAACCAGGCTGTGTTTGCAGAAGTGACCCATGCCCGCAGCAAAGGCCAGGCAGCAGGCGCAGGCAAAGGGGGAGCCAGACAGTTCAGAATCAGCCAAAATAGTTCAAGCAAGGAGGCAGGGGAACATCCAAGGGGTTAAATACGAGGTGAAGAGCTTATTGCTATTGTGATACTAGTCTGAGTCCAGGTTGTCAGTCAACAGCCAACGACATTCAAAGGTGATTTGAAGCAATGCAATGGCTGCTTGTTTCCCTGAAGGACTCTGCCATGAGTCCATCTAAATGAGGCTTCAGCTGACACCTGTAGTTTGATGCGAACCACATTGAAGGACATTCTTGATGACTAAGAGTCATCTTGATCCCAGAAAGTGGGGAAAACAATAGTTTTCAGAGATTAGAAATGACTCAGTACCTTTGTATTCGCTGTCCCCTGGTCTTCCCCCCCCACCCGAGGTGAAACAAAAAGCCTTTCAGAGCTAACCTCCACACTTGTTTTCCCAGTGAAAAAAAATCTGTATTCCAAACCAGTGCAGCATGACCAATGATAAGAAACGACATAAAACACCTGTCTTCAGTCTAGAAAGACCCCTCCATCTCCTACCACATGCACCCCTTGTCCAGGAAATCACCTGTTAAAACCAACACTGCTCTTCAGAGCACACTAGAGACCTCAGCACTTGGGACTGGAAATCCCAGGATGTGTTGCTTACGTGGAATAAATGGTCATCCCCTGTCTCTCTTCAATCTTAATGCTTTCATCGCTAGGACAAGGAGGGTTGGCTTGAAACTGGCTCGGGATCCGCAGAGAGACCTTCACTTTCTGCTGTAAGGAGCCATCTTCAGCAGGAAAAGCAGTGATGGAGACAGGAGCAGTCATGCCCATTCCAACCCCTGAAAGAGACGCACAGACATTACTACAGAAGTCTAGGCTCTCAGGAACTCACAGAATTAACAAGGGATTCACAAAAGCTAATTTTAGTTTAGGAAAACTCCCCACACTGAACTCCTGGTATAGTCAGTCAAGAGCGGGGTCCTCTGGGGCATGCGAAACAGCCGCATTAGGCTTCTGCTTGGGCCAAACTTCTCACACCACTGACTACACAAGAGCCCTGGGAGATAAGGGCCCCAGGGGACCTCTGGATGGCTTTTATTAATGATCCTGGTTTTGTGGCTCTCAACCATATAGCTCATGCCACCGAGACGCTCTGTTCTTCTGACAAATCACCTCTAACACAACAGGGTCTATAGCTCTGAGACAGGTTCGTGGCACATGTAAATCTACATCAGTATTTAAATTGTTATCATCTACACTTAGTGGTGACCCCATAGCCAATACTGGGTGACAGAAACTTTCTCCTAAACCCTTCCAAATGCTTCCAGACATCCTACAAGTTCTAGCACCCCAAAACTCAGAGCTGTTACGGCTTTCAGCAGGACTGGCCATGCTGTTCACCACTCCAGAAACAGCATGCTTCTTTTCTGCTCATTACTGCCAAGAAGTACCACATGGCACTGGAGGACATTTTTCTTCCCTCTTCTTTCAGCAGTAGGGAACCTCCAAATCTCAGGATCAGGCGGCCACAGAACCAGGTGAGATCAAGCCATCTTTCTCATTTATTTCGCTTTCATACCATACCTGTCTCTGTGGCACACATTACAGAAGGCACCCTTTCTCTTACAGCAACAGCAATCATCACCTTTCCAAAACATGCTGCTATAAATACCATCTCCCTCTGCATCCAGCTCCTGCTCCCACAGAGACTATATAAGTCCCTCTACCAGACACCTGAGAAAGGTGTGCAAGCAAATGTATATGCCTCCAAACTACTCCGTGGTCTTCTCCTCCTGCTATGGATGATTACCGATGCGCATACTTTAGTAAATTGAGAGTTAGAAGCAATCACCTGGAAGCACCATTATAAAACACTACAAAGTACCATCAAAAGGCAACCTCATTGTTCATTACCCTTTCACAAATAAAAATAGCCAGAGTATATGATAAGATATCAAGGTCATAAAAATTATTTCACTGCCTACACGGGCACATCACAGAACCGAAGCGCCCCAGATACCCTGGATTTCATCTGCTACTGCTCACCCAGGGAACCATGATAAGATACACATGTGCCTGTCCTCACGTTATCCCAGCTGCAAGGTAACGCGTTCCTGCTTAAACGAACCACTTTTGAGATTTTACCCTGAAACGGAGATGGGTCAGGAGCGGACTCACAGCATGAGTTGGCTGGGCGCGCTTTAACCTGTGGCAAGTTTATTTCTCCCAGCCAGGGGCCGTCCCCCGTCACGGACCCCCGGTGCCGGCAGCCGCAAGCCGGGCAGGCCCGCGGCGCCGTCGCCTCCATCTGCTTTTGGCTTTCCCCAAACCTCCGCCGGCGACGGTCAACCGCAACCATCCGCCGAGCCCCGCGGGGCCGGGAGCATCTCTCACCCTTGTCGTTGGTTCCCCCGACGTACTTGAGGAGCTTGAGCACCCCTTCCTTCGAGGCTTCGTCGAACGGCTTCCCCGACACCTCCACCGCCGCAAACCGCCCTCCCTCGCACGCCCTCTCCTCGTAGCCGAGCTGCTCCTGAGGAAGGAGACGGAGAAGCTGCCAGGCCCGGGGCCAGGCTGGGAGCAAAGGGCTGCCCCGAGGCCTCCCGCTCCCCCTCGCAGCGTCCCACCCGGCCCGGCGGGGGCGGAGACCCCCCGGGGGGGGGGCACAGGCCCCGGCCCCCCGCCTCGCCACCTACCTGCTCGCCCTTGCTCAGCACCCGGTAGGGCCACGTCTCCACCGTGCTCAGCAGGGAGTTCTTGATCATGCCCAGCATGGTGCCGCTCGGCTCGGCCCGGCCTTGCTCGGCTCGGCCCGGCCTTCCTTTCTCGGCTCGGCCCGGCCCCGCCCGGGCGAGGTGGGAGGGCCCGGGGGGCGCCCCGCCGCCTGC